GATTCACTTGCATACAAGTCACTCGGATTTTGTTAGATTTTGAAAATATGCATCATACAACCTTTTTTTTTTCTAGGAGCGACCTGATCGACATCTACTCTGCAAGTTGGGGGCCAAGAGACGATGGACGATCAGCAGAGAGACCAGGATCTCTAGCGCAAAAAGCGTTGGATTACGGTGCAACACATGCAAGTTCCATTTTTCGCTCTAACCCAAAATTTTTCAAGCCTTTTGCTGTATAGGCATTTATCTCGCTAAGTACTCTATTTTTATGCCAATAAATATCAACGCATCTTTAAACCATTACGGAAAACCTATGAAGAGGGAAGGAAGATTTGATCGGGGGATTTACTAAAATTACGTTATATGCTATACTGTGCATCTTTTTTTTGGATCAGGCCCGGCACAGGGTCCCCGATTGCACGGATTTCATGGGTTTCAAATATTTTGCATGCCATTCCCTAAACTCCTCAATCCGCATCTTTGTTCCAAATCTGGTGGCTGGTGACGCTCGCTAAAAAACGGACTTAAGTGAATTGTAAAATATGTTTCAATTTTCAGCGCAAATCCGCTCTCAAGACTTAGAGCAGATTGTATATGTTGGTTACATATAATAGGTAGTTGTCAGAGATTTTGTAAGGTAATAATGCGGAAAGCAATGGAAGGAGAGACTACGACTCTTGGTTTCCGGATCCTGTAAGATTGCCCCTTTGCTTCCTTCTTCTAGAAACGATTTCCAGCTTGCTTTTTGGAGACCTGCTGCCAAGCCTTGTTTTGGGTGCTGCCTTGCTCGTTGACCCACACTGCCGCTTTTGCTATAGTCCCACCGGATAAGGAACGAAATACTAAAGAACAAGCGATGAATAGGGTGTGTTCAGTAGTTAAAAAATAACAACTTAAGAGAATAGTTTAAGCAATACTTTATACATCAAGCAAATAACTTAGACATAAAACTCAATGTCGAAACCGTAGCGACGATTTACATATTGAAATACAGTTCTTCAGGGTCGTCATGGATTAGGCTCAATCTATGTTTGGGCGAGTGGTAATGGCGGCATGGAAGATGATGACTGCGCTATGGATGGGTACGCAAGTAACCTACATACGGTCAGGAAATATGAATTCCTAAAGAACTTCAGGAATTCTTCTGCAAATAGTCAATTACTCTAAT